TATGACAGTTCAGCTCAGGGTTGCTTGTCAAGGAGATGGGCACACCAACATTCTAACAACCTTGAGATTATCTCCTGACGGTAAACAAAAGAGCTAACAGTACAAAAAATGTTTTTTAAAAACGGCATACGGTTTCTTCCCCCCCAATCCACACCACACTCTTTGGGTCTGGTATGGGTTTTGGGGGACCTCATGCCAACAAACAAAAGAAACAAATCCTCCCCAAAATCCATACCAAACCCTTATCCAAGCATGCACCCTCATCCCGAACAATACCAGACCACAGGTTCTTAACACGGGGGGGGGGGGGGGGAGGTGCTATTTCAATTTTGTTCCCTTTTTTAAAATAAATGATTTGTCAAAAACTGTGTGATGTTTTTATTCAGAGTTTTCATTTGTTTAGTATTGTGTCCCTTATATTTGTTAAACTGGGATTCAAGATTACGATAAGTCACCCCTCCGCACAATCACCGAACCAGGGTTGTGGGGAACAGGCCCTCATCAACACAGGAAAAAAAGTGCTTTGCCAAGGGGGAGTTCCCCCCCAGCAAATATCCCCCCATGTTGAAGGCATGTGGTTTGGTATGGTTCAGGTGGAAGGGATGGGTGCACACTTCTCTCCCCACCCCTCTTCTGGCTTGCTGAGCTGCATGCTTGGATAAGAGTCTGGTATGGATTTTGGAGTGGATCTCATGCCACTTTTTTTTGGCATGAAATCCACCTTAAAATCCATATAAGACCTGAAAGGCCTGGTAAGGATTGGGGGAGGAACTACACATCTTTTTTACAGTCGGCTTTTGTGTTTACATTTTTCTGTCAGCAAACAGGAGACGAGTCACTGGTTGTTAAGGACACAGAGAGTGGCAGCTACTTAACAAGCAGCTATTAATTGAATACATGCCTTAAGTAGAGCATGGCTAGACTGGGATTTAACAAATGTATATGATTATTTTTTTCTTTTTTAGCAAATTGATTTTTAGACAGTTTTAGGCATTTTTTATTTTTGTCTTAAATACCACGTAGACCTATAGTGCATTGAGATTTTCCATATCGAATGTGATATTTGGGTGAAATGTGTCACATGGCCCAAATATCGCATGCAATATCCTTTAGTGAATTGAGCCCATAATATTTTATGGCTGTAGCCTCTTTTCTACCCATCCAAGGCAAGGAATAAGCTGGAGCACAGTTTAACATACAACTATTGTGAAACTTCACAGCTAAGGATAACACATAAAACAAAAGGGGTTATCTCTCTGCTCTCTGGATATTCCAAAAGAAAACAAAGGGTAGAGCAGCAGTCACTAAATGGTGCCAGCAGCGCTGCTGCCGGGACCGCCAGCCTGCAATGACAGATCCACCGCTGAGCAGGGCAGCTGTCATGGCAACATGACATCATGTGTGCGCCCGCTCCTTTCAACTCATTGTCTCTCAGGCTCCTGCTCCCTGCCTGTACTCAAGCATCCAGCAAGGATCCCGGCACAGCTCTTCTCTGGCCTCAGGATAGGGTGTAGTCTTACAGGGGCATTCTGATGAGCACATTTTATGTTACGGGGCACTCTAACGGGCCCATTTTATGTTAAGGGGGCACAAATGGGCAGATACTGTGGAAAGGGGCACTCTGATGGCCACATGTGATGGAAAGGGGCACTTTGATGGGGAATATGATGTAAAGGGGCACTCTGATGGGGAAATATGATGGAAATGGATACCTTGAGTGTAAGGGGGCACTCTGATGGGAATACCTGATGTAAGGTGGCAATGTGATGGGGATTCCTGATGTAAAGCAGCACTCTGATGGGGACAACTGATGAAAAGGAGCATTCTGATGGGCACACACCTGATGTGATGGGAATACATGATGTAAAGTTGCACTCTAATGGTGACACATTATGTAAGGGGGCACGCTGATGGGCACACCCTATTCGGACCTCGGCCAGAAGAAAATTTTCGTGTCCGGACCTCCTTGAATTTCAATTCAATACCCCTGGTGTAGAGGAACAGAGTTGTATTAGCAATGCTGCTATATTATCTGTTTAAATAGGTTATTCATTGCATTTATTGATTTATTAAGTGTAAACATGACATAAAAAAATCTATATTTATTAAAAGAAGAGATACAAGTTGGTGTGTAGTGAAAAAATTGCTGCACACGGTGTGAATGATATGGCAATACATTGGCAAGTCCTTGAAAGTATACGGAACTACCTTGTAAAAGTTGCTGAAGTTAGGATAAGCGGTTTACCTCTTTTCTTACTAATATGATTTTGAAGGAGGTGGATAAGGAGGGGGGAGCACTAGGAAGAGAAGGGGGACGTAATTTGGGGGTGTAGGGATCAAGGAGGTTGGTTGGGTATGAATGAGAAAAGAGGAGGGCAGGGATCTAGGGGAATAATGGAAAGTCCTTTTTAAAAAGAATATGCAACTTAAGTACAATATAAATATTCATTCAAACTTTAATTAGGCAGATTGTGGAATCGTAGTAAATATGTCCTGCCATTTTACATGTTTAATTATTACTTTTATTTTCTCCAAATGCTATCTAATTAGCATAGATCAAATTTTCAACAGAAGTTGACTTTGCTCTGTCTTTGCACCTGATATGCAAAGAAAATCAGATGATAACTGCAGGCAAGCGGGCCTCAAACAGCTAACAATAAAGTTTGGGATCAAAAACTAAATTCCTGGTAATTGCATTAGGTTCATTGTATATGCCCGAAACACCATAGTAGAACTTCTTCAAACTAAAGATTGATTCAGCATTTAGAATTATTATATCAATTAAAAAGAATATGTTGGTAATGATATAATTGTTATTCTAATCACAAGTCAAATCCCAATTTGACCACAAAGATCAAAGACCATTTTAATAGTAGTGAGGTCTTATATACTCATGAAATCTTAATACTTTCCATCCCTAATTGATGCCCTTTTGAGAAAATGTCAACCCTACTTTGGGGATTTATGCTTCTGAATGACAATGAAGGAGGTAATCTGCATGAAGCTGTTCTAAGTTATAAAATAAAAACATGTTCAAGAAACAATATACAATAGAGTGCTAACAAAAGTAAAATGTATTGTTTTTGAAGAGTCTATTTAAATATTGTTGCAATAGAAAATATTGTTACAGAAGCATGACCAGATCAGAGTTTTTTGAGGCGCAGGAAAAAACAGAAGTACTAGAACATATAATAAAATAAATAAAAATACATACATTATAAAACTTTACATTATTTTGCACAATATAGTTTTTTGCTGTTGAATAACTATTTTTTATATTTATTTGTGTTTCTTTAACCCTAATGGGGGAGCATAAAACCCCAAAACACATGGGATTATCCTTGAATATGGTACCAACTGCACATGTAAGTCCATCATGAACTGTTATTTGTGTAAGGATGCTTTCATTTGGTATAAATCTGGCAGCTATTGCAATTGCGAAAAGTTTACACTGTGGGACAACTCCTGTAATCCTTGTGCATAGCCTTGTACTCCCTAATCATTGACAAGATCAAGTGGGCTCTATTCTGAGAGATGGCCCTTTGTTTTTAATGGCATGGCTGATTTACTACATTATAATACCCTCCTGATATGTCTGACTTCTCCAAACCCCTGAGGAAGATTTACATTGAAACGTCTTGGGTCATCTCACATGGAATCATCTACTCTATATAATGAGAATTAAGCTATCATTTAAAAAATATAAAAATTATGTGGTTAGAAGATAAGAATGTTTATAAAAGAAGTATGGTATTTCTAATAACAAAAAAAACCATTATACTCACCTAGGTGGATACAGCATTGATCTGATGCTGCATCTGTCTCCTACTGGCTCTGCACTGAAAACTGAGAGATCAAACACCACTGATTGGTGATTTATAGTTACTGGCACTCTTCTCTGTCTTTCCAGTGCTCACTGGAGCACCGGGCTGGGGAGAGGAGGGAGCGACTGGCTGGCTGGCTAACTGACTGGCTTAGTTTCCCAGCAGTGCAGCTGAAAGGCTGATCTGTGACGTCAGCCAGTAGCAGGCTTTAGCAGAATAAACTGCACTGCTGTGATCCATAGCAAAAAGCTTTTGCCAATACGTCTACTGTAATGGAGGGTTGTAAAATATGTTTTCTTAGCATTTCCTTTTACTAGCGGGATTTTATATGTTTTTGTAGCAAAGGTATAAGCTTTTATATTTTGCCTACTTCTTTGGTATTGCTTTTCTTGTGCCTTTAAAGTCCCAGTCACAACTAGTTCTGGATTAAACTTTGAAGATGTGATTTTATTTCTTTCACTTGTAACATGTATTTTTTTCTTTCATTGTTGTCATCCATTTTTTTTGAAAAAGCAAATTACCTAGGCACCTAGACCCAGCAAGTGAAAGTGGTGGTAAGGTAAATATTGTGATGGCTAGATTGTCAGGCAGAGGCAGGTCACGTGGCAAAAATGTAAGTGCCAACAGACTAAGAGTGATCATCACTCCTTAACCTCCCTGGCGGTATGATTATTTCAGATTTTTGGTGCTGAAAGCGGGTACCATTATTTTGCATGGAAATTTGGCGTTATATATTGTAGGCCTGTCATTTTTAGGAATAACTCACTGAAATCTGTCCGAACAAGAGTCTAGTAAACATCCAGGGTAGGATAAAACACGAAATCATAGATTATAATTTAATAAATAATCATAAAAAATAATAATATAATAATAATAAATTTAATTCAATAATATAATTAAAACAAAAACACTGAAATTTGAAATATAGCGCCAAGTTCGCACATCACTGAGCAAAGTCGCAAAATCGTTTTCAGTGTCTGATGATGAATTTCCCCACAAATCATTATCACTCAATTATGCAAGTAGTTCTGATTTACTATCGCTGTTCTCTAGCTGGTCTAAAACCACTTTTGACCTAAGGGGACACTTTTTGGATGCCATGGACGTTTCTCAGTTTCCAGGCAGAAAGAACAGTGAAAATGCAGACAGGGCACAGGACAAAGCACTCGGGACAAAATGTATGTGAAATGGTTTGATACAGTAATGTTTTACTATGTGATTTTAGTGAATGTCACTTTTTGTCATTTTCAAATTTCCCGCCGTTCTGTCCCCCGTACGTCCCGACGCTCGCAGAGGACGGAACCCAGATGACAGATGTCGGCATCCGCCAGATTACATTGCCGGGGACACTGCAGGAGGGACATCGCCGGGGGCGCAGGGCAAGGTAAGTGATCGAGGGATCGCGGAGCAGCGCTGCATGGTAAGCCCGAGTGTAGCTCGGGGTTACCGCTTGTGGTACTAAAACTTTACCCCGAGCTACACTCGGGAATACCGCCAGGGGGGTTAACTGAGTAGTTTCACCCCGTACACATGCACACACAGCAAATTCCACCACATGTTTAAAACAAAGACTTGCTGTTCATAGCACCCGCTGTTGCAGTTCTCACCTAAAAGGATACGTTCACCTTTACACAAGAAATAATAAATGCACATTTTTTTGCAGGTAAAAAAATGTGCATTTATTTTTTTTTTTTCTTAGGAGCCTCTAAAGCATTGCACCACCAATCAGCAGATCGCTGATGCCATGCAGGTCTCCTGCCGACTGTCAATGTATCTGCTTGCTCACACATCCCTTACGAACAAGCTGATATTTCTGACAGGAAAAATCAATGAACTACCACAATGCTCACAGCGCCACAACAGTTCATTGATGACTGTAGTCCATTCATTCACAGAGGACTGAGAATGAATGATGTGGCCATAGGGTCGCCACCTCATCCCTTTAAAACCAAACACATATTAATTACACAGGTTCTGAGTCTAATTTAATGCAGATAAGGCACTAAGTGAGTTCAATTACCACCTTAATCAGCCACAGAACCTGTGTAATTAATATGTTTTCAGTTTTTAAGGGATGAGGTGGCAACCCTATGTGGCCGTGTAAGTGGAGCCCCACACAGCCGCACTGGAACTTCTCCCCATACTTCTGGCACAGGGAGTGTGAGGATCGAGGATCTGCTGAAAATGGGTAGAACATGTAACATGTTACCAAAAGTGAACTTATCCTTTAAGGCAGAATTCCATGTTTCATGTCATTCTGTGTTGTTTTGGCCAAGCTGGCCCAAATGAACTATTTCCATTATAAAACAATGTGGTCACCTGGTGTGCTGTAATGGCCTGCAGTAACATTAGCTATTGAATGAATAAAAAAAGCTTCCTCTGATTGTCCGAGGTGGAGAGATACAAGGACGAAGTCACAATTTCTGCCTCGGCAAAGCAGAAAAAAGCCTTGTATTCATTAATAAAAATACAAGGCTTCTCCTGAATAGCAGAGAAGCACTAAGCCCAACTCTCTTTATATCCATTAGCAGATAGGAAGCCACCTGTACTGCTGCTGGAACACAGCACTGCTTACAGTGTGTAGCTAATGCTAATATTGCTCACCCAGTGGCCACATCATTCTTTAATGAAAATTAGCCATCTAAGGTAACATTACTTGAATTTAATGTCTATAATACTTGCTGCCACACAAATGCAGGAATGTAAAGGAGTTTTAAACCAAGAAAACCCTTTACAGAGGTAAAGTTTTTTAATTTCCATGACACTACCTGTATGCATACTTTCCAACTGTTCCTGATTTCGAGGGACTGTCTCTGATTTGGAACAAAGTCCCTCTTTCCTCCTTATTTGTCCCTCATTTTGGTCTGATCTATATAGTTATATATAAAATGCATTTTTAATCTTTCAAAAATTGTTTCACAGTGCTAAACTGTTCATCCTATTTCTAAATTGCTGCAGTTGTAAATTTAAAAGCCAGTATATAAGAATAGTAGTGGTAAAAAAAAGCACTTGTGGGTTTAATTTTTTTTGTATAATTCTCCTTTAAGGGGGTGTGTCAGGGGGTGTATCCTATGCCCACATACATTTGCTAATAGGTGTCACTCTTTCACATCCCAATAATATGGGAGGTATGTGTATGGAATAGGTGTTTTCCCCATGTGCTTGCTTGGATGATCTGGTTTTCTCCCACACTCCAAAGATAGGCTAGTTAGTAGGTTAATTGGCTCCTGCCCAAATTGGCCATAGAATATGTACAGGGGTTAAACAAAAAAAAATGGAAACACTACATGATTTTCAGGTGTGAAAGTGATGACATGTTTTTCGCATTGAAAGCGGAAGTAATGTAACATTCTTTTATTTCCGCTGTATGATGAGACTTCTAGCCAGGGGCGGACTGACAACTCATGGGGCCCCCAGGCAATAGAGGATCATGGGGCCCCTGTGTCCTTGCCCAAACTCAAAAAAGCCTATGAAAAAGGTACCAGGGGCATCTCATGGGGCCCCCTGCTGACCCCTGGCCCTCGGGCAGTGCCTGAGTTTCCAAATGGTCAGTCCGCCCCTGCTCCTAGCTAAGAGGTGGCAAGCCTCACTTTCGTCATTCGTTGCATGCGCTGCTAGTAATACAGAGTCATGTCAGAGCATACTGAGCTTCAAACAGGGCAAATTGTTGGTTCCGCTTAGCTGGTGCCTCTATTACTGAAGTTGCCAATTTATTTGCTGTGTCTCGAGATACAGTATCAAAAGGTTATGACGGCATACGTATACAGTTTCAGGGAAAACTTCATCTGATAAGCATAACTGTGGTCAACATGGTCAACTGACCGAAAGAGACAAAAGGACATAGTGCAGGATTGTGAACCAGAATAAGAAAACAACTGCTGCAAAAGTGACTGCAGAGCTCAATCTCAGTCTTGTTTTGTCTAACACCTGTATGTATGCATGTGAGATGGCAAGCTTAGATTGTAAGCTCCTTGAGGGCAGTGACTGATGTGAATGTACAACATACTGTATGTAAAGCACTGCTTAAATTGTTGGCCCTATAAATACCTGTAATACATAAAAATAAATATTAAAAGCATTCAGAGATTCGGCTTAACATCTTTCATAAATTGCTTTAATGGAAACAAAAGAAAAACAGTGCCTAAAATATTTAATCAAAATATATTCGAAATTTAGAAAAATAGCAACAAAAAAGGGATAAAAAGTGAAAAATACTCAAGTAAAATTTGTCTGGTCCTTGGTTTCACGCAGTCTGTTTTGTTTGCAGAGTAAGACCAAGAAGATATCATATAGAATAAGATATGTTCTATATGATAAAAGAAGATCATAAAGTCAATACAGTGCACACTTAAGCAATTCCAAATCAAAATACCAATTATACAAAATGAAGACAAGGAAACAGTTTCCAATTTGATGTTTGCATGTTTGTCACTGGTAGTTGCCATTTTCAATCTTAAAACGTGAGCTGCAACTACCATATGTAATTGCTTTTTGTTGTCCATATAGAGGGTGTTCTAGATCTAATTACACTCTGTCAAAGGGTCCTCGGGATGTACTGATAGGTGTACTATAATATTTTATTATACCCAGTGGACAATCCTTTAATGTTAATATTTTATATTTCCATACAGCAAGGTTTCACAACCTGACATCCAACATATTATTTAACATAATGGCATTGCAATTTGGTAGACACAATATATGATATTGATTATTTATCTGGCTCTCTTAGGAGGTCCCATCAGCATTTTGAACCTTGTAGTATGGTGTCTACCTAGTTGGTATCTTCTCATACAATTGTATTACCACTTTTAATGAAGATAACTTCATCTCAGCATGAATATTGATTATGTAAAGTTTGGCTTTGGAAGTTCAAGAAAAAAAGACTCACAGATATGTATTTCTCAAACATATGCCAGACTACTTATTACCTGACCCTTTATCACATGGTCACTTTAGGAGTCTTTTTGAGTACTCCGGCTAATGGATGTTTATGACACTTCTGCATTCCTTCTGCTGACTCGGGTTGTGACATATGTGCTTTATGCTATATTGTGTCTCTTGAGATGTGTTGCCTTCACTGGGTGGCCTTTAAAGACAATGGGATTTAAATCTGAAGATTTCTGTTACCAACTTGCAAAAGAGAGAAAATGAAGGTGACACTGTTTCAGCATGACTCCCCAATGTTCTCCACACAGTTTGGGTTCGCTGGATCTCATTATCCTCACAAGTATGTTAACCAACCTTTTTCCTCCACAGGTTTTTTTGTAATTTTTATTGAGCATTTTGATATGAGAGAGGGGGCCCTCTGTTAAATATCTGACCTTGCTAATTTGGTGCAGTGTCAACTGCAGGGCCCATTCACACTATATGCATTGCACTGCATTGCTCAGTGCAGGCTCAATGCAATAGATAGCTAAATTTGATTGTCCCAATTAATCTTAGTTGACATCAATGTGTTGCATTGTTGTGCTTTTTGCAAAAAATGGAGCATGCTGTGCAACACACTTCTATGTGTAACAGTGCATCACTGCTCACTGCATTGTACTTTAATGAAAGAAAAATCATTTATTTTGGCTCCTGCTGTAAACAAGAAAACCTGACCATCAGTGAAATGGGTTAAAAAAATGCACATCAACGCAATGCATTATAAACTGATGTCAGCATATATCAACTCAGTTGCATCTATCACATGTCAATGCGAGCTAGATGCAATGGATGTTGTGTGAATCATAACTTGGCACCAGCAACAGTAGAGAGATAAGAAAATAATCAAAAACTGCCTTTATCCATAATTCATCTAATTTACTCCTATAATGTGAACTGCTAAGCTCCAATTTTCTGATCTGTCCAGTTTTTAATATCACAAACCTTTTAGCTTTTTTCTTTTTTTACCAATAATAATGTGTTCCGTACCATGCATTAGAATTCACTTTCAATGGACTACCAACACACAAGAATGGACCAAAAAATATATACTGCAATTTTTTTGTATGGGGTATTACCATATCTACTATGTGTATTGCTATCTGAAATGCAAGTGCATCAAAGCTGTGTTGCCTTTGAGTCTGGATGCATTTTTGCATGCATGTTTTTGCTGATGCATTTTTGGTGCATTCCGGTGTGTTTTTGATGCATTCCGGTTAATTTTTTTCCCCTCTTTTTTTCTTTAATTTAAATAAGGACATATGAGTTCCAATGCATTTTTGGTGAGTTTATGTGCGTTCCTGTGCGTTTTTGATGCGTTTTACTGAGTTCCAGTACAGTTCTGTCCAGAAAAAAATGCAGCATGTTCTACTTTTTTTCTGCAACCGGAACGTACTGGAACTGCAAGTATTGATGTAAACTATGACATTGACAACCATATAACCTACTTTCTGTGCATTTTGGAAGCAGAAAAAAAAGCAACTGAAACGCATGTAGTGTGAACTGGCCCTCAAGTAAATGGCATTGCATTGTGCTAACCCAAAAGTTTGATTCGGCTCTTAGAACAAATTAGACTAT